TAATTCCCCCCCCCCCCCCCTTTCCCCCCCCTTTCCCCACTTCCCCGTCAGGGGACGACCTTCTCCAAAATATATTATAATTAATAATAATATAATATAATCCCCTCCCCGTCAGGTGACGACCTTCTCCAATGGCTGCTGCATCTGCTGCGTCTCGTCTCATCACACGCCGATGGAGTTTTCGTGCGCATGGAGAGAGAGAGAGGCCGCAGACAGACCACGCGCAGACCCCGCTACGACCCGCTTGCGCCGCCGTCCGTGCAAGAGCGAGAGAGAGAGAAAGAGAGAGAGAGAGGAGAGAGGAGAGAAAGAGAGAGAGCGAGACAAAAAGAGAGAGCAGCTGGGAGAGGGGTTGACCCCCCCCCCCCCCTCCCGCCGCAGGCTTGCGTGCGCGATAATGTGAGCGAGTTGCTGCCTGAGCTGTGCCTGAGCTCTGGTCCCCCGAGCCGGGGACTGCTTATTCGGACGCGCCGCCCTCCGCCCGCGGCCAGCCCGCGCCGCTCGCCGCTCTCGACCCGCCTCTCGCGTTGCCCCCGCGCGGAGAGCGCCGCGTCCGCTCCCCTTCGCCGGACCGAGGCTCGGCGGCACCTCCTCTCGCCGCTCTTTAGCCTAGGCGTGTTGTTGTCTCCCCCTCCCCCATGATGCACCCCCGGTTGAGATGCGCGTGCGCGTACACATATGTACTGTTTTGGTGTGTGCTGTCGACCAACAGTGTTTTGTGTGTGCATTCAGGGTAATTGAAATCTCTAGTCTTTTTTATAGAGATTGAGAGCTTAAAGATTTGAGTCTCCACTCGGGTCTACTCTAGTGACTACACCTTGGACCTACAGTGCTACCCAGAGATTTGAGAGACCAGAGATTTGAGACTTGAGACCTCAGTCACTCGGCCTCCGGTGGGAGACTTTGAGATTAGAGACCAGAGACTTGGAGAATGAGATTTCCCACACCAAAAAGGAATCTGCGGTCGAGTTTGCTCTCGAGATCCAAGATTTGAGACTTAAGATTTGGACGGCCTTCCAACCTAGAGATTTGAGAGCTGAGATCACAGCAGGCTGTCCCACGCGGGAGAGGCGGGCTCGGCAGAGGCAGGCCGGAGGAGCGCGAGGAGCGGCGGGCCCTCCCACTCGCGAGTGGCGCGTCCCGGGCGCGCGCGGAGCGCGGAGCGCGGTGTAGCGCGGTCCGTGCCAAGTGTTGTGTACGACGCACGCGGCTTTTCTTTTCACAGGCGTCCCCGCGTGGCGCTGAAGCTGCCTCATGACTGCCGTAGGAGATTTAGCTTGCCAAATATCTAGATTCTGTTCGTAACTCTCACTCAACAGACACTGTACAGTGTATACCAAAGCTACATACCCCGCCAACCTCCGCCACGGAATCTCTTTCGAGCATCGCAACGGAACTCTGGGGCGAGCACACAGGGCCAAGTGAGTGATCTCGGGTCGCTAACGTGCAAGCCAGCCGCTGCGCACACGGGCCGGCCCTTGCCCCACTCTGCTAGACGGCCTCGGGATCCCGCTCTCGACCGTCGTACTGGTTGAAAACCACGTACTCCGGGAGCGGTGCTCGGAATTCAACATCCGTTGAAGGCGCGCATGTCCATGTTGAGGCGCTCGGCGGAGCGGCGCAGGTAGTTCTGGTAGCGCTCGTTGTCCATCGCTCCGGTTGCCTTCGCAGCGTCGATCTTGTGGTAGACGCGGTCCGCCATCTCTTGTGGGGACACGTACACTTGTTCGCCGCCCGAGGTGTAGCTGAAGCCGTTGATTTCTTCGGCACGGGTGCTGTGGCTCTTCAAAAGCAGATCGTCGATGCGGTTGTGGACCGACAGGTTGGTGAATTCGTTGGCATTGCGGTAGTTGGCGTCGTTGTCCTCGTAGTTGCGCGTAGAGACTTTGAAGTGTTTGAGCTCCTGCACGGAGTTGTAGTGCGCCGCGTGCGTGTCGTAGTCACCGTTGTAGCGCTGGCCGTAGGAGCGCTGGTTGTCGGAGTAGGGGCGGGACATGGTGCTTGCTTTGAACGATGGATTCTCTCTGGGTTCTCCGGTCAAAGCCAAAAAAAGAGACAGGTGAAAACAAAAATCGCTTTGCTGAGGTGGGCAGACGGCAGGCCGGCGCCGTTCAACACCTGTACTCCAACATTTCGTGGGTGTGTGGCCGGCGAGGGAATGGCACACACATGCACAAGACAAACAAACAAGACACTCAGGTAGGTAGGTAGGTAGAAAGGTGAAGAACAGCCAGGCTCGGACTGGACACCAACGCGGTATGGGTGGACGCTGGACAGATGATGACGACACGCACGAGCGACACACAGACACAAAAGGCTCACAAGACACACAGCCAGCTGGCTGCCACACATCCTGAGTTGGCGTACACATAACTCATCAAACTCAACCCCGAAAAAG